ACGCTGGGAGCTGTAGGCGCGGCCGTGCCTCGGTGGGCGCTGCCCCGGCCCCCGCCGCCCTCTGCTCCTGGGGACGCTGCGAGGACAGTCACGGTTCTAGCGACCTCTTTAAAAGTCATCCATTACCTTTGCTGTGTGCATTTGGCATGGGGATTTCTTATCTTTTGGTGTTTAATAATCTGACAATTATTAGATAACACTGATTAAAAAAATCCCCTTTCAGAGTTCCGCAGTATCAATTAACACCTCTAAAGTGTGTCTGCTTTATGTTACAATTACAGTAGACTCTTCTGAAAGCAAAATTGACTTTTTGTCATACTGGATCTTCATTAATAAAGTTCCCTGTGTGTGGGGCTGCTTTACATAGATTTTCATGGCAAGGACAACTGATGGGTTTTCTCATTCACGCAGGGATCGAAGCTGGAAATACCTCTGTGGCTTGCTAAAGGTCTGTGTGACAGCAAAAGAAGAATAATTTCTGTGGAACTGCCAAAAATTTACAAGGAAGCCTGGAGGACGGTGTTCAGCGCTGATGCCAATGTGGTTGATCTGCATAAAATGGGGCCATACTACTATGGATTTGGCTCCCAGCTCCTGAATTTTGACAATCCAGAGAATCCTGAGATAGCTCAAACTCTCCTGCAGGCAAGTATCTGAACTAAGTTGTGAAATTTGGTTTTATGTTTTTCCATCTACCTCTTGTTCCCAGCTGCTCAGCAGTCTTCAGGAAAAATATCCTATTTTAATCCAAATGACTCGTGGATTGAATGTGGATTTCTAGATCAAGCTGTAGGATCACTCTTTTGGCAACTGCACAGTCTAGTGGTGGAAGCCTCAAGTATGCATCCAGGAGTGTAATTTTAGCTTGAAGTTATCACACTGTAAATACAGTATTTCATAAAATCCTGTAAAAACAGGACTAGAGGAGACATAAGATTATTTAATCCTACCTGTCCTGCAAAGCAGAGTTAATTCACTATGATTTCTGTTTTTTTTACTGTGTTTTTAAAGCTCTGTAATGATGAGACTTCACACTGCTCTGGGCAGTCTGTTTCAGTGCTTTGCCATCCTCATATTAGAAGGTTTCCTCTAATTGCTAAACTAAAGCTTCTTCACAGCAATACAAGCTCTGTTCTGTTTGTCTCATACAAAGTAAACACTAAGAACAGATTATTCTCTTCCTTCCTGCAGCAGTCCCAATTCATTTGGTATTTCTTTGTGGATCCTGTCTTCCAAGTACTGATTGTCCTTATTGTGCACTGCTGGTATCTTTCCAGTTGATCTGCATCCACTGTGACGTGCGGTGCCCCAAACAGCCCACAAGTCTCCTGCTCAGGACTTGCGCTGATGAAAACAAAAAGATTACTTTGTGAATTTTGTAGGTCATGATGCTCTTTGCTCATCATGCTGCAGTGTCTTGTTTTTCACGACAGAGTGACACTGATACGCGTTTGGATTGCAGGCCACACTAAGATGGTACAGATTGCATACGCAGGCAGTTGTTCCCCTTCCTGCATTTGTACGCTTCCCGATTTCTGCCTTAATGTAAAACCTTACATTAGTCCCAGCTGAATGACTTCCTCTTGTTTTCACAGGATCTTTCTGGTTTGTCAGGATCATTATCATAGAATCATAGAATGGTTTGGGTTGGAAGGGACCTTAAAGATCATCCAGTCCCAATGCCCCTGCCATCAGCAGGGACAGCTTCCCCTAGACCAGGTTGCTCAAAGACTCATCCAGCCTGGCCTTCCACACTTCCAGGGAGGGGGCATCCACAACTTCCTTGGGCAACCTGTTCCAGTGTCTGACCACCCTCACAGTGAAGAACTTCT